TGATGGCCCACCCCCTATGCAAATATAGCAAAAACCTCTCCAAAAAAAAAAAAAAACATATATATATATATGTTTGGGGGCAGCAGGTGCCATGGTGGTGAAAACGCTGGGCTCCCACATGGCCAACTACAGTTCAAAATCTGGACTTGGCAGCTTGAAAATCACCCCAGGCATCATGTGTGTGTATCCAAAATCTCAGAAGCAGAATGAATGACATGGGATTGAGGCATGGGCATCCCTGGGGAGTGATTTCTCACATTCCCTCTCACTGTCTTTCTCTGTCTCTCTGACAAGAACATATGCCCTATGGCAAAAGCCTTAAAAATAAATAAGAGGCTAACAGGTGGCATGGTGGATGGGGTGCTAGACTCCTACCTGGCCAACTGTGGTTAGAGTTCTAGACCTGGCAGCTTGCTTTCTCACTTTCCTTCTCTCTCTCTTTCTCTCTGGTGAGCACACGTGCCCTATAGCAAATCAAAAGGATAATAATAAATAAAACTAAATAATTATTTTTCAATTTAAAATAAATAACATATAAAAATTATGTATTTAGGCTTAAATATCTATATCAAAGTATGTAGGTATTTAGGCTCAAATATCTCTATATAAGTTTAAATATATATATGTATTTATTTTTTCCATGAGCCATAGAGACCCCAACAGAATCTTCACACCATAATCCACTCCCTGTCTGAGCAACCAGGGTCACCAGCACTTATCTAGAACATACAGGGAGGTCCCGGGATGCAAACCCAGAACGTTCCTTGTGTGGATCCAGTTTTGTTACCACTGCACCATCACCTGGCCCCTAAACTCACATTTTAACCACATTGTTCCACAATTTTTAAAAGAACTATTTTATTTAACTTCCTCTCTCTCTCTTTCTTTCTTTCTTTCTTTCTTTCTTTCTTTCATCTTTCTTTTTCTTTCTTCCTTCTATTTATTTTAATTTGACCAGAGAGGGACAGAGAGAGAGAGAGAAAGTGAGAAAGCAAGCCACCAGGTCCGGGACTCAAATCATAGTCAGCCATGTGGGAGTCCAGCGCCTTTAACCACCACACCAATTGCCGGCCCCTCCACAAATGTTTTGAAGTCCCCTTGCACCATATCAATGACTCCCAAGTCTGACTCCAGTTCTGACCTCCCTCTGGAGCGTTAGCCCCTCCCATGCTGCACAGAGAAAGCCAGATCTATATGGCCAAACGGGCTCAAATCCCGGCCCTGTCGCCTGTCGGCTTCAGGCCAGGCTTACCTGCATGTGCCTGGGGTCCTGATAGGATGAAGAATTGGAGGGGAAAGTATTGAAGCATGACCAGACCTACTGGGGGCTATTTGTCTCTGTCTCTCTGTCTCTGCTGCATGTGTGCTCACAGGCTCTCTATTGTGACTAAAAATAAAATTTTTGAAAAAGGAACTCTACCCCATCGCATTCATTTCCTGTTGCTGCTATAATCTTGGTAGCTTAAAATAGTACAATTATTCTTCTGCACTTTTGGAAGCCGGAAGTCTAAAGTACGTGGACAGGGCTAGATTTGAAGGCTCTAGCAGAGAATCCATGGCCTAGTCTCTCCCGCTCAGGAAGCCAAGCTTCTCGCTCTGCTTGTAGTTGCTTCCTCGCTCCACTGCTACCGTTTGCCTCCATCATCATGGCTCCTGCTGACCAACCCTCCTGCCTTCCCAAGAGAACCTTGGTGATGACATTGGTCCCACCCGATTCTCTCCCCATATCAAGATTCTTACTTTGGGGACTGGCAGTTGGCCTAATGGCTATCTCGCTGTAGCCGACCACAGTCCGAGTCCCAGACCCGTGGCTTAAACTCACGCCAGGCGCATGTGCGTGCGTGCCCCAC